TTTTCACTTTTCACTTTTCACTTCACATGTAAACAAGTCATTCTTAATTCTTAATAAAGCGAAATATTTTAGCAATGTAATAAATCCTTTATTAACCAAGCTTGCTCAGTCAAGATGGTTGGATATTAGCCTCGTTCTTTTTTCGCATTTTATGGACCGAGACGAAGTCTCGGTCCATAAAATGCTAAAATAAAACTCGGCCAATATCCAGTCATCTTGACCTCACGCTTGGTCAATAACGTATATTTACACGCACTTGATGCGCGTGTGAGGTGCTGCCATACACGCGAGCGGCTCTGTAAATTTTTCCTCAGCTTCTTCTTTCAGATGAAATTTTACCGAGAGCATCTCATACTAATGAATGGTAATGTTAAAATTAAATCCTCTCATCTTAGCTGGTTTTGTTTGTAGTTAACGCTGCAGAATCAGACAAGAGAGATTTGATGACGGAACTTGACACAATGAAGCAGCTAAAACCACATCCCCACGTCATCAAACTTCTGGGATGTGTTACAGAATCTGGTAAGCTGACTCCCTCATGATCCATTCATTCAGTTTGTGTTCGACATACAGCTTTTGAAAGTACAGGCAACGGAGCTCAGGAGGTTTTAGGAGAGAGTTGCCACCTTAAAGTCAGTTTTTGATGTGTAACACATCAAAATTGATTTCCCGAAAGACTTACCGTTACGGCTCATCTTCCCATGAGATCAGTGATAAGCTAAATCGCGACTTGTTGGCCGTAGCTAATTGGTTGAATGCTCACAAGCTTACTCTGAACCTTGAAAAAACCAAATGTATGCTTTTAGGTAGTAATAGGAAATTGGAAAGCAAAATAGCTGTCTCTATCAATCTTCGACCACAATGTAAATAAAGTCAACAGCTTCAAATACCTTGGAATTTTTATATCATCAGATTTTACATGGACAAATCATGTCGAGTACATTGCTAGCAAAATTAATCAAAGGCTTGGTCTTCTTAAACACATTAAGCATTTATTACCTTTCAATGCGCGCCTTCTTTTTTATAATAGTCTTGTCATGCCTTTATTTGATTATGCAGACCTTGTTGAGAGAAACAAGAATAATGTAACCTTAATGACCAGTTTGCAAGTCTTGCAGAATAAGGCTGCTAAAATAATTTTAAACAGACAACTTTATTCATCTGCTACGCATGCGCGTGCCACTCTTAAGTGGGTTCCATTAGAAAAAAGGCGTTTTCAGAGAAGATGTATTTAGGTGAATAAGTGTTTAAATGGACTTGTTAGGCATGATATGAACTTTATAAGACAGCATGAACAACATGCTTATAATACCAGACTAAGCTAAATCTCACACTTCCAAGTGTCAAGAGGAACTGGGGTAGACAATGGACAGCATTTCATGCCATAAAGGATTTTAACTCACTTACCCAAGCAATCAGGCAATCCGTTAATCTTAATATGTTTAAACGTAGTCTTTTAAACTTGTCACTTAATGAGTTTCCTACCATGTTATTTTTAAATCTGTGATCCATATGAATTTTAACTTAATAAGTTGTTTTTGTTTTTATATATTTTATATAGTTTTAGTTTTAATGTGCGAAAGTATTTTTTTGTTTTGTCTTTTGTTGGAGATCCTTTTTGAAAACCATAATTTATATGAAAAAAGTCATCGCAATAAGGATTGTTATTAAGACTTGACGGTGGATTTCGTTGTGCATTCATTTGTGGTGAATATTATTGAAAGCAGTAGACGCAGACTTAAGTAGCTGTTCTTTACTTAGCTGTCGAGAGAAGCAACTAAGCTCTAGAAGACTTCAATTTAATTTCAATCGTACCGATTTCATAATTGTCATTTTAAATATGTAAAATAACTATGTTAAGCACATCGAATGGTGCGTTGCTCACACCAATGAAATCACCGAATTAGGGTAAGTATGTTTACCAATTAGATCGCCGCATCAGGCTATGTGTCTCGCATCACATGTCCTTTCCTTTTCAACAACTTGATCAACTTGCATTTGATCACGTATTCCGCACGCATTTGGCAAAGTTCATATAGGCAACAGGCGAAAAAAGAGCGTTGTTATAGCCACCGAAAAAAACCTTTAATACATGATAATTTCCTCTTCGTTCAATATATTTTCACTTGATCGAGGAAGGGAGACCGCAAAATATATTTGTTAAGAGGCTACTGGAGATAAAATAGATTCTTAGTCGGGCACAATAGCTTATCTAAGAAATGCACATCCGCCGTAATTAGAACCTTTATCATTTCTGACGTATTTTCACAGAGCCGCTGCTGGTGTTAATAGAATATGTTCCTTTTGGAGACCTGCTGGGTTACTTGAGAAAGAGCCGTGGATTAAATGACACTTACTACAAAGACCCGGATATAAAACCACAAACAAACTTGAGGTCACAACAACTGATGAAGTTCGCTTGGCAATTCGCTGATGGAATGAGTTACTTGTCGTCGAAATCTGTAAGTTTAAGAATTTTTGAAACTTTTTGTTAGATGAAATCAGATAACAGTTTTGCTTCTTTGAACATTTACATAACATGTAACTGATGAATTCTTACCTGACGAGTAGTCACGTGTTTATTCTTCAGAGAGATGCTTCTGGGTCCTTATATCTCCTGAGGGGCCAATGAAAAATGTCATTTATATTTCTAAGCTGGGGCAAATGATAAGAATTGGTTCCTTTGTTTGTTTGTTACAGTAGGAATTTCGGAATTCATTGATTTTTTGTAGCTACTTATATAAGAGGTGAAGCTACACACTTGGTCGAAATGAGTGAGTGAGTGAGTGATAACACAACGAATATATGAAATTCAAATATCTGAATTGCGGTATTTGTGCACGATCCTCGCAGTAAAGAGCACTATTTAAGCAATAGAGAAAATCAGACCTGAAAAAATTCAGGCCTGTACGAGATTCGAACCACTGACCTCTGCGATACTAGTGCAGCGCTCTACAAATTGAGCTAACAAGCCAACTGGGAGCAGGTCATCAAATTAGTCTGACATAAACCCGAAAGATGATAAATCAAGCACAACGAATATATGAAATGCATATATCTGAATTGCGGTTATACTCACTTGAGTGAGTGATGGTAAGTAACAATAGAATGCCCAGCTTCACTCAACAACTCAATGTTGTTATCATTATTACTATTTTTATCATCATTATTATTAAATTTTTATGATTGTATATTCTGAAGTTCAGCTATAACGCGCACTGTCATTGGTTGAAAGAGCGTGCTCTATCAAAGTGAAATGTTCAGCAAGCGACCGTGGACGATAATCTTACTCTTGTACATTGGATCAGCAGTGATCTAATCGGCCCAAAATAACGAATATATATATATATATATATATATATATATATTTCTATGAAAGTGCAAAATACGTAGCAGAGCTAAAACTGTCACGCCATCTGCAAATTTATACTTTGTTGGTCCACTTACATACCCGACTTGTCTCTAGCTGTTTTTTCGTTCATTAATAGTGAAATTTCGGAATAAGCGACCCGGAAGGAGCAACAGAAGAACCAAAAAAAAAAAAATAATAATAATAATAAAGTACTATCGTTTGTATCACGATATAGTTACTTATGATGTCAATCGCGACGTTTCGACAGCATACTGCTACTCTTCATCAGGCGATAAGGTCGACTGGTTTGGGGTCTTCTTATAAAGCAGAATGTTCCGCTGTAATAAGCTGGTATTCCACAGCTGTGATTGGGGCGTTTCGATCCTCGATGTTAGAGAATTGTTCTCTTGGCAGTCCGCTCTTGTTCAGCTCCCCTGTTGTTGCGTTTTTTGATTGTGTCCATTCAAGCTTCAGGAATCTCTATTCCACACTCCTTGTTGATGCTGTTAGGGTGAAGTGTTATATGAATAGCTTCTTTGACCCTGCGAGTGTACCAGTGACCATCGCGATCAATAAACTTAACCTCGTTCCAAAGCGGCTGGTGTCCGGTGTTTTGGGCGTGCTCTGAAATGGCGAAGGTCTGGGTAGTCGGATGTCTCGGTCTCTTAGTCGCGCCGACGTAAACTTTGCTGCGTTTACAGGGAATCCTGTATACTACGCCCTCTTCTTTGGCCGGTTTAACAGCGTCTTTCGCTCTTACTAGCTCTGATCTTTGTGTAGCTTCCGACTTGAAGACAGCGCGTACACCTTGTTGCTGTAGGTAGCGGCGAAGCTGTTCGGAAAGACCTTTAACATAAGGTAACACTGCGCTGGATTTGAACGCGATTGCAGGCTCATTACTGCTAGGATCGCTTTCATAAATTTCATGAAACCGCAGTACACATATATGATTTTCATATACTCAAATTCAATGATTTAACTAAACAGATATTTGCAAACATACCTATTACGTAATTCAATATAACGCGAAAATCCTTAAAGGAAAAACGAAATGGACTTTGTGAGTTAACAAAACTTTACATTTTACACTAGTATAGCATATATAGTTTCCTGTTCAAAAACAAAACAGAACAAAAGGAATGATGAATATATCACCAAACAGGCATAACTGTTCAAATTAATACAAATCATGATGTTGTCAGAGTGACTGCCGATCTCCGGTCATCACAATAAAGCAAGCCTCAGAAATTACATTTTTCGCCCTTCGTGCGAACAACTAAGAGCTTGATCTGATATCCTTTCAGATCCGTTGAGTGTAAGGCCACATCAGTCAAAACTGTCGAGTTGTAAATCGCCCTCATCTTGGCTGTCATTTACTCATAAAACACACGCCTTGCGCAGTTTGTTTTCTGATTGTCACGTAGAAAACTTTCCTAGTTTTGTAAGTCACAATTCGGCCGCATCTTTCTGAACGTTTCGCTCTTAGATTCTGTATTAAGACTAAAGAACCTCAAGCAAAAGTGTTTAATACGACCTTCCGAACTATTTTAGTGTGTGAGCTACTGAAGATTGTGATCTTTGACAGTTTGGAGTTTTTGACAGCCTCAGTCCCATTCAATCAGTAAGATTATTTGAGCCATTCCAACAAGGCTTCTGATTGGCTTATGGTACAGTGTTTTATGAGAGTATAGAACTGAAAACACTGTTTTCGCATCGAAAAATAAAGATTTGTTTTGAAAGTGGTAGGTGGTGCGTGGCCAATGTGACGAATTATTTATCATGGAACAACTAAAGAAGCCTTGGTTGCGCACTGTTCTGTCGTAAAGCACTTGGAAGCGGCTAAAGCACTCAAGAAGAGGGGAAAATCCCGCCAACACATCTCATGTTTCCTCCTACACTTCTTTTTTGCTCTAGCCACTTCCTGCGTGCTTTACTAAAGAACAGAACGCAGTCAAGGCTTCCTTATTTGTTAACTGTCACCATTTAACTGAATGTCAATTAGTCACTATATTCTTGCGTCATCTTTCTCTTGAGGAACAGGGTACTCATAAATATGTGGGACGCGTTAGGTTTTCTATTGTGCGCGTGAACACAAATCTTGTGCAACACTACCTTCTAGCGGTATGATACAACCCCTTGTGCTGTTCGGTGCTATGAAGACTGTACTTCATCCGGAGTCACACAATCTCAGACTGTTTATTTTTTTCTCCTTGCCGTTAGATCATCCACCGAGACCTCGCAGCTCGTAATGTGTTGGTCGGGGAGGATGAAACATGTAAAGTTACAGATTTTGGAATGGCAAGAAATGTGCAAGAGGAAAATATCTATGAGAGAAGGACAAAGGTAATACGAAAGAAATAGGCTTTGCTCCATCGCATGACATGTATTTGTATGTTTCTAAAAATTTGACGTCTTGAGTTTTTTGAGGCACTTTCTAAAACCTTTTTCTAATGAATCATGATACCTATGATTAAGAAATGTATCGGCGCGCGTTCCCAGTGTCAAAATTACCATGCAAACCTTTGTTTTTTATTTCGAAACCTAATTATGTTTTTATTTACGATAATTTTTAAAAACAGTATTTCCTTTGCAATCACTTTCTAACTGTTGTTGTTGATGCTTTCTTATTCACGATTGAACCTCTGCTAAAAATGAATTCTTGCTGCGCGTTTATTGCAAGCACGACTGCTTATCTAGCTAAAGATCCAACATGATGTGACGTCATAAACTTTCTTGATAAAGCTTTTTTAAGCGATTCTTGCTTTCTATGCTGTTGAAATTTTTTGCGAATCGATAGACCGATCACATTTCCTGCGAAGGAAAAACCTAGTTTTTCCGCGAAATCTCCACCAATCAAATTTTCTTCGCAAAATCCATCCAGGCGCTAAAGCCACTGCATCTATCCCAAGATACCCTCTTAGCATTTTGTCCGCTGGCAATATAACGTTGGGAGTGAGAGATGAGTTGCATCATTCCAAAACTTGCTTAGCTGTCGGACAATATTAACCAACTCATCAAACTTTCTAGAAAACTAGGGCAAGATCTAAGTGATGTTGTGGCCAATTACTTGTTGTCAAGACTGCTAAAAGTGCTTGTCATTTTTCAAGGATAGCCAGTATGCCTTATTATCATATGGCCCCTCCGGCCCCGCTCGCGTAATCTCATAGGAAACCATAACGAAAGCTGATGTGAGCAGGGCCGGACGGGTCGACGTGAACCAGTCCGGAAAAAGCTGTCCGGCCCTGCTGCCCTCGCTTCGTTGCAAAACTTAAAGGAATGGGAGTTTCTTGTTCTGACAGGAAAAATAAAGGAAAGTTTTAAATGCATTTCTTTTTTTGTGTTCATGTGGCTGTGTATGCCCGTCTATCGTATCCTATTTAGGTTGAAATTTTCAACACTTAGTAGTCATGTGATAAGTATGATCGAGCCAAATATTTTCCTATTCGCCTCTCCAACGCAGTTAAGAGCGACTGTTTTTGAAGACCGCGTGAGAGGTGGCACATGGACCGAAAAATGACTATCCTCGTATTTCAGTCAGTCAGAGATGCCTTATAGTGCACTTAGAAACGTGGTAAGGTTTTTTCCCAGACTTGCTTCTTTATCATAGAAAATTCACAACAACTGAAACGAGCGTCGGTAGCCGTAAAATAGCGGAAATCAGTGCCCCGAGTAGAGGCAAATGAACTTTGCTCATGAAAAGTGCAAAAGAAAGCAAGCTCGTATCAAATTAACAAATTTGTAAGGGAGGGATCGAGGTATGTCTTAGGTCTAAAACGGGACCGTTTCATTTAATTTTGACACCAAGGACCGCTTTTAAAAATCACCAATATTTCAAAATCCAAATATTGCATTTTGTAACACATTTTCAATTATCATTTTCACCATGCGAGATAACTCAGAATCGGTTCAGGTTAAGCTCATGATAAGTGGAAATAGTGTTGCTTTTGAGGATATAAAAATTGATTTGGGGCTTTTCATTTGCGCACGGAAAAACCAGACTGAACTTTGTGAAAATCGCAACATCGTCATTTACGTCACGACATAATCTAATTAGGTACTCCGTGGTTAAATCCGGAATTTCAAGTACATTTTAGAAGTTAGCACCTTGCATAGTTAACCACGGCAGATTGGTTTTTACCTCTGCTTTCGTTTCAAATTCTCATCCATTTCCAATGGCGGAATTGTTTACAATAACACATTCCTTAAGCTAGCGGAGGGCGTCTGTTTTTCGAAAGAATTACCTTTTTCTCGACTTAGTTGTTTTAATTTGAGAACAGTTTCCAGTCCAACCAATTTCCTTGAGTTTTGTAACCAAAACTCTCAATTTGGGAAGAACGTTCTTAGCTCAGCTAAGATTCTTTGTTTTTAGTAGTAATTTCAACTAACACATTGTTTATCATACATTTATCCTCAGGTCTAGTTCACTCCATCTATTTCCTTCTGTTTCCAGCTCCATTCTTGGTATTCTTCTCCTATTCCAATCATTTCATACTCTGTCTGTGTTTCGCCATTACTCTGACCTTTGATCCTTTCCTAATCTTCTATAGTTATTTGTTGTTTTGTGTTCTGCTTATTAGCTCTTCTAGGTAATGTCACTATAACAAGTTTCACAGCAATGACTAACCGATAAGAAAGATTATCATATAAACAAGTTTGTTAAAAAGCCCTATTCATCGATATTCGTGGCCGTAAAATTATAAGATGGGAACAAGATTGCAATAATTTCACCCTTGCCCGACGAATGCTTGAGTGTGTCGCATCTCCACACAGATTGCTTTCCGTCTTCAACATCTTCGGCAAAGAACATTTGACCTGCCGTTATAAATGATTGAATTGTCCTCTTTCAAGTCCACAGTGAAGCCCATGTTTACTTAAGAATTTTCTTAGGACTTCTAGGTGTTCGAATACCCAAAGAAAAACAGACGCCCTCCGCTAGCTTAAGGAATGTGTTATTGTAAACAATTCCGCCATGGGAAATGGATGAGAATTTGAAACGAAAGCAGAGGTAAAAACCAATCTGCCGTGCTTAGCTATGCAAGGCTAGCTTACTGTATTGATTTCCTGATCGACCACGGTGCTAACTTCTAAAATGTGCTTGAAATTCCGGATTTAACAACGGGGTGCCTGATTAGATGAAGTCGTGACGTAAATGACGATGTTGCGATTTTCACAAGGTTCAACCTGATTTTTCCGTGCGGAAATGAAAAGCCCCAAATTAATTTTTATATCTTCGAAAATAACACTATTTCCACTTATCATGAGCTTAACCTGAACCGATTCTGAGCTATGCCGCATGGTAAATATGATAATTGAAAATGTGTTACAAAAATGCTATATTTGGATTTTGAAATGTTGGTAATTTTTAAAAGCGGTCCGTGATGTCAAAATTAAATGAAACGGTCGCGCTTTAGACCTAAGCCACGCCTCAATCCCTCCTTTACGAATTTGTTGAGTTGATACCAGCTTGCTTTCTTTTGCGCTTTTCATGAGCAAAGTTCATTTGCCTCTACTCAGGGCACTGATTTCCGCTATTTTACGGCTACCGACGCTCGTTTCAGTTTTCGTGAATTTTCTTGGATAAAGAAGCAAGTCTGGGAAAAAAAAACCTTACCACGTTTCTGAGTTTACTATAAGGTATCTCTGGGTAAAATAGGAAGGTTTTCAACTTTTCGATTATGTGCCAAATTTTTCGATTTTCACGAGGTCAGTTCAAACAGTCACGCTTAATTAAGTACATAATATGTAATCGATGACCTCCAGTACTCCCGTGGTTAAATTATGTCAATTCTTCGAGACGACAGCGAAATTAGTAGACTGTACCGTTTCCTATAAGTTCAAAGTGATCGAATGGACGTCCCAGATTGGGAGTAAGCAAAGATCAGCTTGGGTTGCGGTGCAAGCATCAGTATCATTAAAAGGCAACTCTGAAAATTCGACATTTCAAGTCATGGAACTATAGTGGAAGTTATCTGATCTTGATTCCGTTTTGCGAAATATATTTGAGCAGCGTTTCCAAACACTGGTGATATAAGATTGTGGTCCTAGCTAACTTTGAGACAGAAGTTTTGGATTAGAAATAATTTGGTCAATGTTAGGAATTTGGGAATTTTTAAGTCACCCTTTGCTTAGATTCATTTTCTATTCAAAATTCTAAGGGTCGTCTTCCAGTAAAGTGGACTGCATATGAGGCGCTGTTATATGGAAAATATACAACCAAAAGTGATGTGTAAGTCTTGTGAAATGAAATTTGTTTTCGTTTTCTATTTCATTTAGCCATAAAGATTCACTGGTGGCAATAATTTTTACAGAATATAACGAAAAGTGTATTTTGATGATGTTTGATAAGTCCTTAGTATGAACAAATTATTGATATTGCTGAAAGTTATACTGCTATCAGGGACAGGAATGTCGACTATTTTAAAATGCCCGACAATTACTAAACTTTCTACGTTGTTTTATTGCGTCGTAGATGGAGCTATGGAGTTGTCCTTTATGAGATTTTTACTATAGGTAATACTTTTTTATTCGTTTTGAATGAATTACATTACATTAGCAACAGAGAAGGTCTTATGTCTACAGTTATTTTTAACCCAGAGGTTTATGTTTAATAACATTAAAGCGCGACCAAGGCTAGCCTTTGATGGTGACCTTCCATTTTACGAACGAGGTAAGGGTTGAAATTGGGAACAGAGATTTTCTGTGTAGGTGGACTCACGAGAGAGACGCTTCACAGAGTAATTTTCCCGATCAGTGGGTCAGTGGATCTTCGGATCTTCATGTTTGTCTATTTGTCATGCAATACCATGAAAATAAGGGGAAATTTAAACAATGCCAGAAAACATTCTTTTGTATGATTCACCGCTGGTATGCATTGGTTTCGCCAATAGAAATTGCTGGAAATAATTTAATTTAAATGGTTTTCTCCCTGACTGAGAGAACCTGTTGAATTTCATGTATCATTTTTGATCATTTCTTCGTTTTTGATAAATATCTAAGCATAGCTATAGACTTGTGCACGTTATGCAATAGTTTCCAAACGTTTCTTTATATCAGGTGGTTCACCGTATCCACGGATGGATGGCAAGAAAATTGCAAACTTACTTCAGCAGGGCTACAGAATGCCAAAACCACAACATGTGGATGATAAATTGTAAGCCTTAAAGTCTCCTTCGATTCAAGGTCTTTTTAAGATATATATAGGGAGTGAATAGAAAGCCTCAATCTATTGCATGTTTTCTGCTTATGTAATTGAGTTCATTCTTTACTTTATGGAGATGTTCATTGGTTAAACTTTGGTAAACTTTAGCTTATTTGCGACATTTCAGAAACAATAAGTTACCAGTTTCTGTAATAACGATGAAAATGATTCCCGTGTTTCGTTTCAATTTAATGTAATACACTATACATCAGCGTATACCAAGTACCAACCTGTGTTACATGAAACATAGGTATGACATGATGTTGAGATGCTGGCAAGATGACCCGGATTCAAGACCAACGTTCTTTGACCTAAGGAACCAACTCAAAGCTATGGAAACATTACACAAGGTAAACTTGTTACATTCGGTGATCTTATGAGGAGTCATCAAAAGATATGTCGTCATTTATTTTATAAAATTGTCGAGAACATAGGAGTGGTATATCTTCGATAAACTCAGCGACTATTGGGCTAAGGGGAAATTGCGCTATACAAATGATAAAAAATGAAGAAACTATGTGCCTGTAGTCTTGATCAAGTTGATTAGTCAGCCAACTAAGTACAACTGCAGACTTTGGTACCATAGTTATATACCAAACGTTTGAACATTTCGATAAGGTCATAAACAAAGAACTTCTGATGGACATCAGAGTAATGTTTCTATACTTTTCCTTCCTCCATAGAGGCTGATAAATATGAAAATCTACGACAAGCAGATGTATGCAAACGTTGAGGACTTGGTCGTGTAGGCGATGAAAATCTGTTAGCAATTAAGGAAGAAGAGTTTGTTCTCCTCTCTTTTGCTAAAGTTCTTAATAAAAATAAGATCACAAGGCGATCAATTTGAAAGTCAGTTTTAGGAAAATACTTACCCTTTAGTAGCAGTTAGTTTAATTAATTTTGCTTTTAACTTTGGTGTTTACCAGGCTTTTGCATTAGGAAAACAAAACATGTCAAGGTTCCTATTACACCGTTGATTGGCGATGTAAATACATTTTGTATGCTTAAGAATGTATATGTAGTATTCATTTATTCTATCTTAGATATGTCTTTGAGCGACTAACTTTATTAGAATTGGTACAAAAAGACTTTTAAAGGGTATTGTAAACAGATATTCTCCTTTTGGAAGCGATCAGCTTCATTATGATCATTATCATTATGACTAGTAGTATTAAAGTTACTAGTATCACTACTATTATCGTTGTTATCATTATTATTTTTATTATAGTTATTATCAATATTGTTGTCATTATGATTGTTCAAATTTTTCTAATTATCGTAATTTTTATGAATCACATTTTCCTTTTATCATGAGGGTAGTTTTAATATTTCGAGGTTCCTTTCAGAACCTTCTGTTGATCGGAGCTATACATACGTATTAGCATCCTTAATTACAGCCATATATTCAAAAAGCTTACGGGTAATTTTGTTTTCATAATAACGCAATCGAAATAGCCACAGTTCTGATTTCATGTGCAAAATCTTTCGAGCGAGTTTCTTGGTGAAGCATTGATGCGGGGTGCAGTGACATTTTTTAGGGCTTCAAAATATGTTCTCAAGTGTTGCGAAAGAGCAATTAAATGTGTAAGTCGGCCTTTAGGTGTATATTTGTTAAAACACTAAATAAAGAACACTTATAAAAGCATAAAATTTTATTGATGATTTCGTCGTTTTGATGGTAGCTTTAAAGAAGAACTCGGTTATAGAATTTCCAAAGGATGGATGATAATATCCATCGCAAGTACTTATCAGTTTCATGTTACCTAAGCATGTCACCGAGAAATTATTTCAATTTTCTTCCTTAATTTCTTACCTTTCCAGGTTCGATCTTTGACAAATTGCGTTGATCCACGATTGATACCCTTTATTGTGAACTCTTCTTTAAAACATTTCTTCCTTAATTCAGGCCCCAGCGAGTCGATTTTCGCCAGATTATCGTAAAGAGTATTTACAAAGAGAAAATTGGCAAATTAAACGAAGAACTCTTCTTTCCCCGAGGAATCCAACCGTGTCCCTGTTTCCTTGCCCCTTGGTTCCTAAAAGCAAATATCCACGTTTCCTTAGTCCTTAAAACCCCTTTTAACACCCTCATGATTATGATAAAGAAAGCACAATTGTATAAAAGCTGTTGTAGAGCGTTTTCAAGGATTGATATTTCAAGTATTTTTAGGATTACCTTTTGTTTCATTAAGTCCCGCCTTTTCGCCGCTACGTGCTATTTTGATGAATGTATAGTTTTGATCATTTATTTTTAGTGTGTGCTTGAACTTGGCTCATCACTTACCGTGCTAGACATTTTAATCTCTTGTTATGGTTGAGGATAACGAGTCTGCTAGGTGGTCATGTTTGAGTTGGTAAAACTGACCTTGAGTCTTACCCACACTGAACATCCTGTTTTGGAAATTCCCACGGTTAGCTAACCCAAACATGTCTGTGATTTTTGTATTTAATACTGGAGCACTCCTTGCTGAAAGTAGTAGAAATAAGCAGTGGAACAAGAGAGAGAAAACTAGCCGTAGTAGAAGCAGCAGTTTGGGAGAATAAAGAAGAAAATTACAGAGTCTCAGTACCTCTTGTTAATTTGCCAAGCGAGTGGTAAAACCCCCACAACAAGGCGATCCTTCCTGTAATGAACACTACTTACGTAGCAGTGAAAATGAGATCTGAAAAAAAAAATTAGGTCCGCACAGGATTTGAACCCATGACCTCTGTGATACCGGTACATTTCTCTACCAACTGAGCTAACAACCCAGCCTCCGGCTGGCCATCATGTTGGTTCGTATTGAACCTTATTTTCATTATTACTTAAGTAGTGTTCATTACTCTGAGGATCGCTTTCATACATTTCTTAAAGCCGCTGTACACATGATTTTTATATATTCAAATTCAAAGCCCATTTTATCAACGCAGTCGTCTTCCTAAAATTATCCTTTAATAGAAACTGATGAACTTGCTTGCAGCTGGTCCTGCAGTTTACTTTGAGCATTCTGCTTGGAAAATTTTTAAACCTAACATAGCTGATCGGCTTTCGACTCTTGGACGCACATCTAAGTTTCGTTCTTCCCGTGACTTCACAGGCCTTAGTGGACTCTCAGTCGGGTTGATTCTTCTGGGCCGTGACATTGCTACCTAACCAGGGCCAAGCACTGTAAACTTTTCGAGCAAGGTAAGCTTAAAATGCCTTGTTATGAATGCCAGGAGATTAAAAAGTATTCACTACTCTCAAGGAGTCGCGAACTCTGCAAGATATAATTTGCACTGCTTCCAGGATTTGGTCTACACGGAGGACTTAGATATTGTTCTAGTTAATAAAAACTGGCTTAACAGAGACGTGGAAAGTTCTGAGCTGCTTCATAGTGGCTACCTAATCTACAAAAATTATAATGATCGGGAGAAACGACGAGCTGGTGGGGTTTTGATTGCAGTTAAAACCTGTGTTTTCAAATCCGTTACCGAGTACCCTCTTGCCCGAGAATTTCAAGATCCAGACATCGCCTCGGTCGTGGTCACAACAGTCTCTAATCAGAGGATTTTATTCTGTTCTTATTACTGGCCTCCGGATTCAGACCCTAGATTTAACCTTTTTCCAGATCAAGTTTGCGATCAGTTTCAAAACATGGTAATTTGTGGTGACATTAACTTGCCGAACATCTCCTGGGACTCCGTGGATAGCGCTTCAGGTGCTAACGAACTGCCTTTTATCGAGGCGCTACACGACCACGTCTTGACGCAAATTAACAGCACGCCCACTCGCGGTAGCAATATTCTCGATCTAGTGATAACAAGTGCCCCAGAACACACCAAAGTGACCGAGGTATTGTCACCTGATAGAGCCGGTGTTTTTACGGATCATTGTGTAGTCCTGTTTGAGTACAATGCTTTTGTTAATGCGTCCTTACACCCTCGCAAATTTGTCTAGGACTACGCGAATGGTGACCTTGAAGCTTTGAGTGAGGCTCTCTAGGCGATCAATCTTTCTTATATTGTGTGCCATAACAATATAGATGGTGACTGGCGGTGCTGGAAGGACTTATTTCTAGCT